CCTACTCCTCCTCCTCCCCACCCCTCCCCTCCCCCTTTCCCACCCTCCCCTCCCCTTCCCACCCCTCCCTCCCACCCACTCCCACTCCCTCTCCCACTCTCTCTCTCTCTCTCCTCTCACAACACTGTCTTTCTCCCTCCCTGGTATTTTGCCCACCGTTCGTCCTTTTTTCTTCCCTCGCCTTCTCAAATCCTCTTGTCCTCCCTAGTCCTTTATTCCTGCTCGTTCCTCTCTGCTCTCCTCAACTTTCCCCTCGTCGTTTCCTCCCCACCTGCCTCCAGCGCGCTCTGATACCTGCTAGGTGCTACTGGGAGAACAAGGATATCATTCTTTTCATCCTCGAGACCATTGACCGGCAGCAGTTAAGCCATGTGATATTATGGTAACAGTCTGGCCAGTTTGACAATTTTGACAAGGATTTCTTTGAGACGGAAACTGGTCGGACATGGCTGCAAAGGTTCATTCCTGCCTCCTAACTACCTTCTCCGTTCTCAATTCTTTCCTGATGTCTTCTGACCCTTAAACCCTGCTCCGCTTTTTTGGGAACCCCCGCTCATCCTCCTCGGCCTCATCTGCTTCTCCCTCTCGTCCTCTCCCTCCCTCCCTCCTCACCTACTCCCTCCCTCCCTCTCTCTTCACCCTTCCTTCCCATTCTTCCTCCTCTTGCTGTTCTCCTTCTCTCCGTCCTCAGTCCACACCTTCCCTCCCCTCAACCCTGACGCTGCGAGGCAGGTGTGAGAAACTCCTGACAAGGCTGACCTCCGATTCCTCCACGGACAATCTTCTCAAGAAGAGCGAGCTGTGAATCTTCTTCCTCCTCTCTCCTCCTCCTCTTGACGCCTGTGCAGCTTCCTGCAGGGAGCAGGCAAGGAGCTCATGGACCACTTCATGGAACGAGATTCTAGCGCCATCATCGGTCTTTCTCTCCCCATCCTGATCCCTCGTCTCTGCTTCGTCTTCTCTCCCCTCCTCCCCTCCTCCCTCCTTCCCCCCTTTTTCTGCCTCGACAAAATATCTATCGTTCTTCCCTCCACCTCCTCCATCTCACCTCCCTCCTGCTTCCCATTTGCTCCTTTGACTTTTCTTGCTCCCCGACGTCTCCTCCTGGCTCCTCCTTCCTCTCTTTCCCATCCTTCCCCCACCTCTCCGCCCTCTTCCCTCCTTGTCCTAGGCCCGTTCCCACATACAGCTCACCTACAGCTGGCAGGCATGCTGGGGAGGACCAAGTATCACAACCCCAAGGCGGAGGAGCTGATCAAGGAGGGACTGCACAAGAGGGAGGAACTTCTCCAGCAGGGGCTCAGCTACGTGGCCAGCGAGACGAAGAAGGACGAGACCAAGAGGATCTTACTGCAGCATCAGAAGGCCCTTCACAACCCCCGCTCCCGCCAGAGCATCCTCCTCTCCCTCAAGAACCAGGTCCACCCCAGCTCTATCCCAGCTCTTCCTCTATCTCGATCCTCGAGCCAGCTCGTTGTCCAGTCGTTCCCTAGCTGAAAGAAGGCTGACAGGTTCTGGAGTTCCTCCTGCAGTACCTTACTAGGCTCGAGATTCCTCCCCTCACCTTCTCCCGCGGCAGCGGCGCCTCCGAGTTCAGCTATGCGCTCGGCCGGATCGTACTCTCCGCCGTGTCCATCCCGAGCTCAGACCTGCTCGTCACTGTGTCCGGCAAACGTGTCACTGTCAAGGCCAAACAGGTTGGACAACCTCCTGTCCCCCAGCTGACCGCTCCTGCTCGTCCCCGGCTGGTGTTGATGGGGTGCAGGTGAGCGCGGAGCTCCGGGACTTCACATGGATGTACAAGCAGAAAGGCTTCCCGTGGCTGAAGGACCGAGGGTCCGCCGATGCTGAGGTAGAGGAGGGAAAGGGGTAGAGGAGAGCGAGAGAGACCCAGAAGCGAGGAGGGGCTGAGGAGCGCGAGGAAGATGGTGAGTGAAGAGCAGGTGAAGGGACTGTCGCTGTGGCTCAACTTCGACATGGAGGGCTTGTCGCTGTCCAAGGGGGAGATGGCAGTGAGGAGGCAGGAGGAGGGAAGAAGCAGCTCGAGGCCACCAACAGAGTCAAGATTCGACACCTTGATATCCGCCTCCACAAGGCCCAGGTGAGAGAGGATACAAGACCGGTCCGAGAGTAGAGTTGAAGGGGGTTGTAGGCGCCTGCTTGGTTATACAACGTGCTTCTGTCTGTCTTCTCCATGCGGGTCAAGACGGCTGTGGAAGAATATCTAACGTCAGCTCTGCATGAAAGCATCGGCTCCCTTACATCTGCCGTAAGTTACCATAACCTCCTCCCCTCGTTCCTCCTGCCTTCCCAGCCTCCTCCTCCTCTTCCTTCTTCCTTCCTCCATCCTACTCACTGCCTCACTGCGCTGTTGTGTTCATCGCTCCTACTTCATGTTGTTCACAGCTGCGACCATCAGTTTCTGCTTCCTTCTCCTCTACCTTTCGCTCCTCTACGTCTCCTCTTCTTCCCTTCCCCGCGTGTCCTTCCTGACTGTCTTCGCTGTCAGATTCTCCCCAAAGCAGAGGAGTATCTCGAGCTTGCCCTCAAGGGTGACAAGCAGGAGGAGGGAGATCGGGCAGCCGGTGAATCTTGCTTCCTCTCCTCTCGCTCCTCTCACTGCCGCCAGGTGGGCCAGTCTTGTCATCGAAGGAGGGTAGAAAGGAGGAGGAGGATCGTCACAGCAGAGCGTTCTCTTCACGGCCATCCTCCACCCCCGAGAGTCATTCCCGGGTCATGACTCAACATGAGGAGGGGAGAAGGAGGGAGCGACGCTCCCTGCTCGCAAGCAGGCAGGCGCGAAATTCTTCTTCCAGTGAGGAGGAGGAGGAGGAGGAGGCAGGAGGGGGGCGTCTGTCGAGCTGGCATGCGAACTTGAACTGGGCGTTGGGGAGCGAACCTGTGTTCAAGCAGCAGGACTCTCCCTTCCTTCATTCCCTGACTCAGAGGTAGATGTCTCCGTCGCCTACTCCTCCCTCTTCTTCCTCTTTTCCCGTCTGTTCTCCTCTTCTTATCTCCTCCTACTCCTGTTCCCACCTCCACTTTCTCGTGTTTCTCTTACCCCTCTCCCCTCTCCCCTCTCCCCTCTTCTCAATGATTGTCATCGGACTCGTCCATCTCCCAATCCTCACCCACCTGCCTCCCTTCCATCCTGCTCTTCGCTTCCTCCTCACCCTGCTTACGCGTCTGGACAATGAAGTAAGATTCACCGAGTACGACCGCTGCTGATTTTACTCCCCCTCCCTCCACCCGTGTACTTAGCACAACCAGCTCACCATCCTCCTCCTGCTCATCCCCCCCACGTCTTCCCGTCCTTGCCCTCCTCCATGACAGTGTCCATGGGAGGTTTGAGCCCAACAGCAAGGACCTCAACGTTGTCACGCTGCTTCAAGTTGAAGTCGAGAAGGGAAACAGAGGCTGTGGGAATGTTCATTTCTGCCCACTTGCTCTGATCGTCGGGCTGAATTCCCATGACCTTGGTGATAATGCTCTTAGTGACCCACACTGTAAAGAATGTGAGGAGAAGCATTGAGGGTGATGGTAAATTTGAAATATCAACACCACCACCATCAACACCAACAGCGGCAGCAGCAGCATATGATCATCATCATCATGACATCATAACATAATCATCATGTCGTCATCGTCGTCGTCGTCGTCATAATCATCATCATCATCATCATCTCCTTCACCATCGACTTACTGTGCGACACGAGAGCGATGTTCTTCCAACCATTCACTTCCGCATCTTTCACCATGTCGTTCAGCCCACTCCATACTCTCTCGCTGAGCTGTCGGTACGTCTCTCCCCCATGCTCACACCACAAAGGATCCTCCTGGAACTTCTCAAGATCCCCAGGAAATTTCTCCCGCACTTGCTCCTTGGTCAACCCCAGCCATCGTCCTCGATTCACCTCCCGGAAGCTGCCAGGAAGCGATCAGTCCTTGCCCTCTTGCCCTTGAACTCCTCCCCTGTACCTCACTCTCTCTATCCTCCCTCTCAACTGTCTATTTTCTTTCCCTTTCATCCTCAACCTGTCACTTCTACTGCTGCTATCCTCTCGTCCCTCTTCTCGTTACATGGGCCCTTCGCCTTCACTTCTCTCTCCTCCCTCCCTCTCTGAGCGCTCTTCCTCTCTGCTCCCTCCCTCCTCCTTCTCTCGCCATTACCGATCATCTTGCTTCGGGGTCAAGCCGAACTTCTCTGCCACCCTCTCGCCGCCGTACAGCGCTCTCTTCAAAGGGGAGCAGTATACCTGCTCGATTGGAATTTCTTCCACCATGTTAGCTGCAGCCTAGCAGACGAGCGTGAGAAAGTCTGAAGAGGAGGGGCAGAGCAAACAAGAGAGGAGCTGGCAGCGAGCAACACACCTGTGCTTCCAGCTTGCCGTAGTCGCTAAGGGGGACGTCGTGCCCTCCATAGAAACAATCCTTCGGGAAGGTCATGCCTGGAGTAGTCAAGTCCACAGCTCCATGGCGTATGAGGACTACTCTGACAGAGCCTGTCTTGAGCTCAGGTAGGTCAAGCTTCTTGGTGGGGGCGGCGCTCTGCATCGAGCATCGGAGATTGTTCATGGCTGGGAGGCTTCCGGAGAAGGCGCAGGAGGAACGGACCCTGAAAGCCGACATCGCCATGGTGAAGAGGAGAAGTCTTCCCATGACCTGAAATAATGTTAATTTACATCATGGAGACTTCAACAACATTGTTGAAATCGAAGCATTCATTTCTTCGTTGAACCCTTGGCAAAGCTTCGCTCTCGCATGACACCGATTCGATGATCAACAACTCAACGGCAGGTTCGGCTCAGAACTGATCTCATATCCACTGATCTTCTATCCACTGATCTCCTATCCACTGATCTCCTATCCACTGATCTCCTATCCACTGATCTCCTATCCACTGATCTCCTATCCACTGATCTCCTATCCACTGATCTCATATCCACTGATCTCCTATCCACTGATCTCATATCCACTGATCTCATATCCACTGATCTCATATCCACTGATCTCATATCCACTGATCTCATATCCACTGATCTCATATCCACTGATCTCCTATCCACTGATCTCCTATCCACTGATCTCCTATCCACTGATCTCATATCCACTGATCTCATATCCACTGATCTCCTATCCACTGATCTCATATCCACTGATCTCATATCCACTGATCTCCTATCCACTGATCTCATATCCACTGATCTCATATCCACTGATCTCATATCCACTGATCTCATATCCACTGATCTCCTATCCACTGATCTCATATCCACTGATCTCCTATCCACTGATCTCCTATCCACTGATCTCCTATCCACTTGTCTGCTTCCCTTGCCCTGACTTATCACTCCTCCTCCTCTACCCGCCTGCTCCTCTCCCATGCTCTTCTCATTTTCGCACCGAGGGTAGGTACCGGTGGTACATGGTGTTGTACTAGACAAGGGTAGGGGTCCACCTAAGGAAACTGCCCACCCTACCCTGGGTGAGGCTTGGAAACAGAGATAAAGGTACCGGTCCCTTTCCTTTATGAGGGTCGGTCGTTACTAAACGGTTATGTTCGCAGGTGCGAATGCAAGGGCAGACGCAACTGAGAAGGGGAAGAAAGGAGAGGAGAGAGGAGGAGAGGGAGGAGGAGAGGAGAGAGCAGGGAGAGAAGGGATGAAGGAGGAGAGTGACAAGGCAGGACTGAGGAACCTGAGAATGGAAGTGAAGACATTGGGAGAAGGAATCCATGTGTGAGGATGAGGATTTTGGAGAAGGGGGTTGAATGCATGTTTAGCAGATGAACACATAGCACAGAAATTGAAATTGAATACAGCATGATGGTCGGGGGATTTAAATGCTCATGGTAACAATCAGCATGTCTCAGGCTTCATTGCTGAGGAACCAAAGTCAAGTTATGGAACATTTCAAGCTACTTTCATAAACCCTTGAACCCGAATCGATTTCGAAACAGAAGAAAATGCCGTCCGGAGTTCGTCGGTCGAGATACTTTGGTGGATATGTCTCGGAAGAAGGAGCAAATGGTGAGAAAGAAATCTTGAAATGGTGATAGGGAAGAGTGTTCTTCCTTGCAGTGAATGTTTTCTTGTTTGAGTATCTTTTGCTTGTTCATCACTTCCCGCCTTTTAGGTTTAAAGGCTTACAAATATGCGGGAAGTGATAAATCTCTGATGCTCAAGTACATTACCAACCCTATGTATAATCGCATCGTCGTCTACTTTCCTGTATGGCTTGCTCCTAACCTGATCACCCTGTCGGGACTTCTTTGCACGTGAGTTGAAGATGATGTTCATATGTGATACCCTGACAAAGAGTGCATGATGAATTTCTACGTCCTGTAGGTTTGTCACCTATTGGATCTTTCACTACTATTGTCCCCTTCTGGAAGGCCATGCGCCCTGGTGGGCGTACATGCTGAACGGGTTTGCGATCTTGGCATATCAGGTCAACTGCGTGAGATCGAGTTGCGCTTCATGACGATCAGATGGCAGGCTCTTGATGCGATGGATGGCAAACAAGCGCGAAGAACAGGTATGAATCTCACCGAAGAAGATCCTTCCACATTCTTTCAGTAGCAGGATAGAACGTGAACGCTAAGATCTCATCTGAACCTCCCCTTTGTTGGCTCACTGTTTCTCTTCAGGCTCTGCAACTGCTCTGGGAGTGCTTTTCGACCACGGGTGTGATGCCCTCAATGCAACTGTGATGTCAGTCACAATGTGAGCTGAATCCTTCATCTCCTGATCTTCTCTCTTGGTTCTTCTGCCACTATCTTGACTCCTGCCACTTTTCATTTCTGCGGTTGTTTGTAACTTGATGTTTGCCCTCTTCCTTCTGCGTCCTTTCTTCCACCCCTTATCAGTCCCGATGCAGCTCACCTTTGCCAGGTGTGCGGTGGTTCAGTATGGCCCGGGCGTGACGTCCTTTGTGTTCTGGTTTGTTGGTAAGACGAGAATGTGGGAGCAATTTGTAGTTTGGGTTGGGTGCAAGGGAGAAATCGGAGGATCAAGAGGGGGAAAGGGTTAGGTTGTGAAGAATAAGAAGATCATGAGCGTCTGTGGAGGGGAGGAAAGGATAATAACATGGAATGCAGCGGTCCTGGTGTTCTACAGCGCAACTGTGGAGGAATACTACACAGGAGAGCTGAGACTTGCGATCATTAATGGGCCCAATGAGGTAATCGAGGAGAAGAGAAGTAGAGGGTGAGGGGAGACGGGAGGGAGGGAGGAGAGCGGAGAGGAGGCGGTGAGGGGATGGTTCTTGACAAGAGAAGGGACAGAGGAAGCAAGAATGGTTGGGAGTGACGGAATGGGGCAGGGGCTTGCGATTGCAGCTGGAGTCAATTTCATCACTGCAGCCATTGGCGCGTCGTTCTGGACACAACAAAGTCCTATCTTCGGTGAAAGATGGCAGAATTTGAGGCGATGTGACATGGTTGCGATTATGTATTGTGTTGTGCGATATGAGGTGACCAGGGGATGTAAACTAATGGAAAAGAAAATGGTTGGAAGGAGGATGGGAGGTCAAAGCGGGAGAATTTGTCTGATCAATAATTATTTCGTGGGATATTGAAGCTCTTCGATGTTTTGACCTGACCTCCCACCATATTGTGATCATGCTGCATTGTTCAGGCATCACATGGAATTGGATTCTCTTTATTGTCACTTGTGGGTGCGCTTTCTTCACAATCACACAAGTGAGACAGACATTGAAGTTGATTCAGAGGGTAACTTTGTTTACTTGACAGAACTTCTTTCACGTGCTCCTTGCTGTCCGAGAGAACAAAGCCAAGGTGACGAGCTCCTCCTCTTGTTTCTAATCACACCAATATCCACTCTCTCGTCATCTTTGACCTCGATTTCAATCTCGATCTTGATGTCGCTCTCCGTCTAGCTTGCTTCTCGTTACATCAGATTTTGCTCCTATATTCTCCTCAGCTTCCTGCTCCTCCACTTGCTGCTCCTCTCCTTTTCTCCTCATGTTACCCGCAGGTCGAAGGAGGATACGGAAAGTTTAGATATCGGGTGGCCTTAACACGGCTGTTGCCCTTCCTTTGTGTGGTGAGAGAACAGAAAAGGTGGAGGTTGCGGTTGCGGGGACTAAATCAGGTACAGGTGTTTCTCTCTCTTGCGTGGGTTCTGTTGTCTCCAACAAACATCATGGTGACGTTCGTACTTCTTCGCGCGAACCAGAGCTCACGATTACGATCAACTGCCTTTTTCTGCCTTTTTCTTTTCATCCTCTTCCTCCTTTAGCTCCGTCATCCTCGTATTGTATTATGGGCCCTTGGATTTCTCTTCTCCAAGGTAACTCCCAGACTTCTTGCAGATCCTCCTCTTCCTCCTCCTCTTCCACCTCTGCTCCCTCAGCTCATCATCTGGATACTCTCCTGCCTTCTTTGTCTTGTCACCTGCTCCCTTCTCCCATTCTTCCTCCTCCCTGTCATTGAGAATGGAGGGAAAGAACAAGAACGACAATGGTGCCGCTCTTTCCTTATCTCCATTGCTGCACCTGCTTCCATCTGTTCGAGTGACTTGATCTGCAGCTTGTCACTCAACTCATGTTGGCTCATGTTTGTGATGAAGAATATCATCCAGGTTCACTTTTCTCTCCTTTCTTACTCGGAATCCTCCTCTCCCCCATCTCTTCCTACCACTCCTCCTTATTATGCTCTGCCGATTCGCCCTCTTCTCTTGATACTTTCTCGCAGTGGGCAAGACAATTTCCGTCATCGCATTCCTTGGTGCTCACATGTTGTTCAATCTTGCGCATCAGGAACTTTCTCGAGAGACTGCGACAGTGAAAGTGAAGTGACTTGCAGGTCGAGATACCAGCCTTGAAATATTTGATAGGAACCTCCATTCTCAAGGTATCCCCTGTTCTCATTCCTCCCCTCCTCCTCCTCCTCCTCCTCCTCAACATCATCATCATCATCATCATCACAACCACCACCATCTTCATCATCTTCATAATCTTCATCATCATCATGATCCTAACTTTGTATCCTGTGTTGCCTCCACATCCGCCTACCCTATCTCAGAGCCGATCACCCCCACTCTTTTAAGTGTACTGCCATGCAACTGTGCTGGGTCTCGAACTTTATGACTCGATTTACATGGGTGAAATCTAACCCTTGTTTCAGCCTTTCAATATGTCAGTCTTTGCTGATCGAGGAATGAATATTCTCGTTCCGACTCCTTCCAATGTTGAGAATTCGGTGATGCTTCTTTCTACCGTTGCTGGCTGTCTTCTTCGCCCCCATCTCTGAATTCTTCAGCTCTGTGACAATATGTTTGACTGTCAGGTCCTTGTACCACATGAAGACGTCGTCCTGTACGAATTTTCATAATAGCAATGATATCTTACGTTCACTTCATCATTGGGGTGAAACTTTCTGTTTGATATGTGAGCATGACCAAGTCGTACAGGTCACAAGAGAGATTACAGAAATTCTTGGGATTCAATGCTTTGTTATCAAACCCAGAAGAGAATAAGAAATCAAATAATTTGTAAGAGTATGAGAAGGAGAGAGGGAGAGAGGGGGAGAGAATGAGACGGGTGGCTTCTAGACTTCGTCGTCACGGCTCACGCCGCGATACTCTACAGGCAGCTCGACGACCATCCTTGTTCTTCGCTGCAGGGCTGCTTTCCTGTAAGCCAGTACCACCGCAAGTAGCATCGACATCATGCACAGCAGCATGGTTACTGCCAGAGCATGATGTCTCCTCCCCTCGGGCCCGCCCCTGATCTCAGTCGCCGCCATGGCGAGCGAGACCGCCTGCCCCTGCACCTGCTGCTTCTTCGAGTCTCTCACCTCCCCTGGCCGCTGCATGAGAATGTTCATCGGGTCGATCCGCATGCTCACGTAGGGGTGAGCCGTCAGCTGGGCTTTGATGTTCGCGGGCAGCTTGTCCTTGTAAGAGAAGACGCCGAAGACGGCAGAGCCCGTGTCGAAGATGACGGTGAAGGGCTGCTTGGGAGTGCCGATGGAGAGATCCATAAAGTACTGTGTGCCCATGTTGTTGGCAATGGGAATCTGATCCACCTCCTCGAGACGGGTACTGTGCTCCGCCGGATACATAGTCTCCTCACCCTTGAGCAGCTGCAGCTTTGCACGTGGAGCCTGTTGCAGCTTGAAGTAGTCGAGCTCGTTGCTCTTCACAGGTGTGTACTGAGCGTTCAGTTTCGCTACCCCGATGATCGGCCTGATATTGTCTTGCATGTCAAACTCAACGATGTACTGACGGAAGAACACGTCCCCAATTAAGATGCCAACCATGCCGTCCGGTGAAGGTTGTACGCACGTCTCCTGTGTGCTGCTCAAGAACCAAGACTTGTACGGGATCTCAAACGTCCTGCCTCCAAAGGTGATCCAGAAGGAAGTGTTCTCCTTCCAGTTGTTCGCAAAGTCATCGAACGGGCTGTTGGACAGCGTTCCGAACACGTTGTCTCCAGGGATAACCAGACAGGATGTGCCCGAGTCGAGGATGGCGGGAAGATATTCTCCTCCTGTTGGACTCTTGAACTTCAAGAGCTCGATATGGTCACTTCCTCCTGGGGTACCGTAGGACAGCGACGTCACTCCCACCACAAAGTCCGAGGAGGACAAGGAGGGAGTGTAGAGCATCACCTCTGAACACGATGCAGGGTCATAACCTCCCAGCTGGAGCTCTGCTGCCGTGTCGGTGGAGAAGAAGGAGAATTTACGGAGCAAGCTTCCAGCATTGGAATCCTTTGCCGTCGGATCAGTCAATGCGAAGAGAACCGGTCGAGGCAGGTCGGCTCCTTCACTGCCATCCTTTGGGAGACCAAAACCAAGAATGCCATCCACTCCGTTGAAGTCTGGTGAGTTGCAGTCTGTGATCACTCCGAACGGGGCTTGCGCATGGAAGTTGCCCAGCTGCACAACATCCAACCCTCGGAATCCTTTCAGGACAGTCCCGTCGGCGTAGGTCAAGAGGAACTTCTTAGAGGTCTCAGGAACGAACGTGCTGCTGGCCTGTATGCTGAAGTGACGAGAGTCTTGTGGACGATACGCTTCATCGAAGAGCATGCTCGTGCCGCGCTTCTGCTTCCTCGATCCCCGGGTTCTGTTTACTGCTGCAGTGCTCTTCATCATGACGCCTTTGGCTCCTCCATGAACACTTCTTCCTCCTCTCAGAATTCCTCCTCCTCCTCCTCCTCCTCCTCCTCCTCCTCCTCCTCCTCCTCCTCCTCCTCCTCCTCCCAGAGCATTCGTCACTCCTACCACCACCATCAGCGCTATCCCCCGCCACACGGACTGCGCCATGTTTCCCGGAAATAGCTTGAATCGATCCCACCCCTGCTTTTCAGCATCCTCACCCACCCCTTCCCCTCATCCAACTCCACGAGCCCTCATCCCCTCAATGCCCACCAGAAATCAACCCGACATCAGCCCGACCTGACGAGAGTCCAATGGCGCCAACCCTATGGTGCTCGTACCCGCGCGCTGCCACTTGGCGGCATGAAGGGGAGCTGCCCTCCTCCATGAGAGAAACAGACGTAGCTATCTGAGATCAACTTGAACGAGGAAGAGATCGCAAAGAAGATCTGAAAGAACGTCTCCCTCGCTCCCTCCCTCCTTGCATTCCTGATCCGCTTTCCACTGTATCCCTCTTCCTCTACCATCTACTCTTTCCTTCCCCCTCTTTCCTCTCTCTTTCCTCTCCCGGTTCTGTCGCTCTCCTCTTTCTCCTCTTATTTTCCACTGTCTCCACCCCCCTTCTACCACCTCTTCATTAATTATACGGAAAATGGACGTTTGCGTGAAGCTTCATGTCGATCAGCTGGAATCAACTCATAGGCGTTCGTTGGACCTGGGAAGAGATGTAAGGGTATGGATACAAGTACGACGTTTGTTAAAGAGGTTATGTGAAGACTAACTGGCAACTCTAGGGGGATGTAGTCGACCTACGGCAAACTGAGACACAAACAACTGCCATGGTTGATGATGGTTCCGGTGTAGTTTCAATTGATTGTACCGAGTTGTACAAAGTTTATGTAAGAACTTGTCTTTGGGTCCGGCAACGAAGAACATGCTCATGAGACCTTACAGGACAAGTACAAAGATACATGGCGACTGGCCAAGGGAATGTACGTGATGGCGCAAGGTGCCTTGGAAGCTCATCGCAGGGGCAAACCTTTCAAATGTGACATTTGAATTGTAGGTATTTTGAGCAAGGACGCGGATCAAAGACTCCACGTGATCTGCACCAAGATCGCTGATCTATCAGCAAACCCCGATCGATTTGCCATGTGGATGTGTGAGGTGCGAACAACAAGCTTCATACTTCTGTTTATTGGTTTTCATCAGGTGGTAGATGCAGATAGATTCAAGGACCAGTTACTGGCTTAAAGGATGGTCCTTGCTCCAGAAGAGGGAGGAGGGCGTTGGCTCAGAACTCGCTAAAGAATGGATTCTCATATCACTCTTAGTGCATGCGAAGAGGAATAGTTGAGTAAGGAGGCTGGAGAGGAACAATCATGCACAAGAATGCTTGAATCATGCCTCATGCGGAGGGTCTTCTAGCGGGGTGTAGCTCTTGTCAGAATTTCCAAAAAGCTTGGCCGGCAAACCAAGGAAAAATCCCGCGATGAGAAGCAACCCGAACAAGACTATGAAGAAGATGAGAGAAATCAAGAAAGCATCATTTCTCTCCGCCTGTATGTCAAAGGTCAGTTTTAAGGAACCAGGCGAAATAAACTGCAAAGAACGAACCCTGAACTTCTCGAAGCGCACTTTCGTCACTCCTATGTTGAATATGGGGAATCCAGCTTCGCTCCTTCTGATGCGGACCCAACAGTCGAACTCAGGAGGCTCCACATCACATCCAGGCGTCCTCGGTGTACATTCTTCACAAACTCCTGGATGGATACCATTGCACCCAGGACAAAGGCAATATGTCATCGCCCACGCCATCTGCTTTGTTCCGTTGATGTGCCAACGTTCAAAAGCTGCGAGCAAACATTTGTGTCAGGAAAGATAAACGATACATTGAAGAGATGTTTTGAACCTGAATCATATATCGTAGTCTCCGGAACCAAGACAGTTTTCCCATAACCCGTTCTATCGGTAATTACTTGCACTCTTACGGACGCTCGATATTCGTTTGGAGTCATTTCATCACATGCTTGATCTTTCTCTTCACTAGGCTTGTCTCGATCTACCCGTAAGTTTGTATCCTTTTCGAAACATTGTCGAGTTGAGTCTCCCACTTTCTCTGCCAGCTTAGGGTCCTCCAAGGGAAGGCATTTGGCCGGCATAGTCATGTAGGATTCAGAGACAAGAAGCAAGACGAGGAGAACAAAGGCAGATATGATGATGCCTCCAAGAACTGCCATCATAAGGCCCGACATTCTCCTTGATTCCGGCTCGTAGGCCTCCTCCTCCTCCCTCCGCTCCATGGCGGCGCTTCGCACACCTTGTTGACTGAAAATATGTGAGCCCTCATCTCCACTCAAACCGGGCCTCAACCAGGCGGTGGCCACGTGGTCGCCGAGTCACTGAGGGAGGCTGCTGTCGAGCGATGGAGGGGGATGAGGGTGTGCGCGAGCACCGTTACAAGACAGTTACTTTTATAATCAACGGCTGTCGTGATACGAGCAAGTGAACATGTGAAGAGAGCAGAGCAGAGCAGAGCAGAGCAGAGCAGAGGAGAGGAGACGAGAGAAGAGGGGGAAACGAGGGGAGGGAAGGAGAACAGACGATGAGAGAACGATGATTGTTCACACAGCGATGGTAAAGTGATGAAAAGGCTGAGGGAAAAGATTGTCAAGGATGGAAAATTCTGGAAGCATCTATCATGAAATGTTCCGATATGACCAGGAACAAGAGAAGAAAGGTTCGACAGAGGCCGGCGAGAAGGAGGGAGTGCGAGAGACAGAGAGATAGTGAGATAGTGAGATAGTGAGATAGTGATTTGAAACACTAAGGTTCTAAAGACGCTGACGAAGGGATTTCCGCATTGGACCTTACGGAACTAGCGACAAAGACGATGAACTCCACAAAGAATATCGAACTTGAAATCAAACTTCTCATCTTAACTGACTTGCTTCCAGATCAGTGAAGCCTGACCGCTCCACTGCCTACCACAGGGCTCGAAGCACAGAAAAGCTAGTGAGGAGGAAAGTGCACAAGGGGGAGACGGGAAGAAGAAAGAATGACGAAATCCTCCGTCCGAGTGTGCGTCCGAACAAGACCAACAGCTCAGTTTGCTCATGATCAGCTGATTGTGAAGCCAGAGAGCAGAACGATAGAAGTGAACCTGAAGAAGAATCCTGCGATGGGGGTTGTGAACAACATGCGAGAGAACTATACTTTCAAGTTTGACGGTCTTCTGCATAACAGCAGTCAGGAGACAGTCTATCATGAGTGTATGGATGAGGTAGGTTGATCTCTGCATATGCAAATGCGCCTAATTGCTTGTACTCTTGCATTTCTTTATCCCCCTTCTCATCCTCATCCTCATCCTCATCCTCATCCTCATCCTACTGCTGCTGCTGCTGCTGCTGCTCTTCTGACGCTTCTCTGTAGATTGTTCAAGGAGTGATCAAAGGATACAACGGCACTATGCTCGCGTACGGCCAGACAGGAGCAGGAAAGACTTACACCATGTCGGGAGGGACAGAGAGCTATAAGGCGAGGGGTTGCATCCCCCGCGCCATCCAGCAAGTCTTCGGCGAGGTCTCGGCGCGCCCTGATCAATCCTTTACCATCCGGATGAGCTACCTGGAGATCTACAACGAGACTCTGTTCGACCTCCTGGCTCCTGCCGGCGTCATCGCGGAGGAGAACAGCGAGCTGCAGGTCATTGAGGACAGCAAGGGAGGGATCACCATCAAGGGGTTGACCGTCGAGACTGCCAACACGGAAGAGGAAGCCATGAACTTGTTCTTTGAGGGGGAGACGAACAGGGCGATCGCAGAGCACCAACTCAACTCATCCTCCTCTCGCTCCCACTGCATCCTCACCGTCCACGTCGAGTCGCGCTCGAGGGTGGAGTCGGCAGACCGCGTCCTTGTGTCGAAGCTGAACATGGTGGACCTGGCGGGTTCAGAGAGGGTGAGCAAGACTCAGAGCACAGGAGCGATCCTAAGAGAAGCCATGTACATCAACAAGTCTCTGTCCTTCCTCGAGCAGTGCGTGAACGCGCTGGCGGATCGGGGGCGGGAGCATGTCCCCTTCCGGCAGTCGAAACTCACGCACGTGCTCAAGGACTCGTTGGGAGGGAACTGCAGGACAACAATGATCGCAAACATCTGGGGAGAGAGCTCGCAGCTCGAAGAGACGATTTCTACCCTCAACTTTGCTACGAGGATGATGCGTGTGAAGGTGAGATGGGAGGGAGGAAGGACGACTGGGTAGAGGAGGAGAAGGGCGGAGGAGGATAAGGTCGAGGTAGAAGAGGAGGAGAGGAGTTTGGTGGGAGATCGGTTGCGAGTCATCAGGGGCAGTTGATGTTTTTACAGAACGAAGCGATCGTGAATGTGAAGATGGATGCAAACTTACTGGTGAAGAAATACGAACAAGTAAGATCAGAAAGTTCCTCCCTCCTCTCCTCCCTGTTTTTCGTCTCTCCTCTCCTCCCTCCTCGCATCCTACTCATTTCTTCTTCTCATCGGCCTTTCAGGAAATCCGCGAGCTCAAGCAGGAGCTGGCGATGCACGATGCTCTCTCTGACAGGAAAGACGTACAATACGATCCATACAGGTGACCACTTCCCCTCCTGAGAAACAATCTGACGCGTGTCATCCTCCTCCTCCTCCTCCTCCTCCTCCTCCTCCTCCTCCTCCTCCTTCCCCTCCTCCTCCTCCTATTTACAGTGAGGAACAGAAGTACGAGATTGCTCAGACCATCCGTGCTTACTGCCGAGGAGAGATGGAAGAAATCCAGATCCAGAGCATGCGGCAGGTCCGCGAGCTCTTGCAGCAATTCAAACATTTGTACAATGTGAGGTCTCCTGTCTTAGCTCCCTGCCCTCTACTTCTCTTCCCCTCCCCTCCCCTCCCCTCCCCTCCCCTCCTCTCTCGTCTCTGGTGCTACTTCTCATTCTCTTTTCAGAGTGCTGTCTTCGACGCAAACAACGGCAGGGCTTCAGCAGCTGCCGTGGAGGGGCAGCAAGACGAGGGAGAGGAAGGAGGAGGAGAAGAAGCGAGCAAGACGGCAGGCATCGGGCAACTTGCAGATCGCGATGGTTTCAGCATAGGTCGCGCTCCTGACGCAGCTGTACCAGAGACCTCTGTCAAGGTTCCTCCTCCAGCCTATCTTCTATCTTCCTTCTTCCTCTTCCTCCTTCTCCTGAATCCATCTCCGCACTCTCCCTCCGCGTCTTCTTCCTCTTGTCCTGCCTTTGTCCCTTCCTTCTCCACCACCTCTTCGCTTTGTAACGGCCGAGCAGACAGCAGAACTCCAGCGCTCTCCTCTCAAGCAGGGAGCGACATCGGAGAATCAAAGCCCCAAGAAGGTCGTCAAGAAAGCTCCTCCTGGTGCTGCAAAGCCCGATAAAAATCAGGTGAATGCCTCCTCCTCCTCCTCCTCCTCCTCCTCCTCCTCCTCCTCCTCCTCCTCCTCCTCCTCCTCCTCCTCCTCCTCCTCCTCCTCCTCCTCCTCCTCCTCCTCCTCACCTCTTTCCAGCCTTGTCACAATTCTCTTCAGGCATTCGAGGAGTACAAGGCAACAGTGGGGAGCAAGACGCATGCAGGACTGCGAGACAATCTAGCCGGTGAAGTGAAGTTTCTCAGTTTGGACTTCCCTTTGACTCCTTGACGCCATCAACCCCCTCCCCCTCCCACTCAGGGAGGGTGGT